TCTTGGACAAGTATATGGTTAAAACAACAAGTTAATTTTCGGTGAGGTAATTAGCTTTGCCAAATATCTTTAAAGATAATAAGGTGTTGATTTCAGAGAGAGGAACTTTTCAGCGGAGTGCTTTTTATTTGGGTTAGTACATTTCGCTGACCCCTAGCACATGGACTAACAAGATGGACCTGGTACATGAACTACTTGAATGAACCACCAGTGGACTACCCTAAATGTAAAACCCTAAAATTTCTAACCCCAAAATTTAAGAATCAGTTTGTCTGCTCATGTTCCAATCTTCTAGGAACAATTTTAAAACGTCATCGCTTCTGCATGCATTACGTGCCGTTTATTTATAGAACGTTGAGGCTGAGATTAACCAAAATGTTTAGAACGTATTAACAACATTCCTCAGGCTGAGAGTAGATTAAGAACGTTTTTATTTCGCTAATCTGTATTTTCAAATGACAATCATAAAATAAAGGTAACAAAAATGTAACATGTTAAGAACGTTTTCAGCCTCAAATCGCAAAAAATATAAGAACGTTCAGCCTCAGCTCCAAAATTTGACGTTCTTATGTAAAAAAAAGTGTGTAGTCAATATTAACTTGAAGAAACGTTCCTGTTTTCTGATAAAAATTTTAAAGGTTTTGTTTTGAACCGGCGCAACACCAACTTATGAGGCACGACTTGACATTTTGTATGATGCTTTGTAGCATATTAAATGATACCTTTCCTCGTTTATTGTTATCAGTCAAGTTAACGTATGTCATTTTGACTGGACTACTGTTTGGAAAAATACTCGCGATTCATTTATTTTTTTTATTTTTGTTGGTGGCGGGGGAGGGGGACGGGGTGGGCTCAGTATTTTCAGGGGGTCGCTACTTTCGTGATTTATCAGGTGCCACAGTTTAGGGGGAGGGCGTTCGCTACTATTAGGGGCGGGTTGTTACTTTTGGAATTTTACGGTAGGGTTTATTTTCTAGACTTATATTCACTCCTTTACGGCTTGTTGTGAAATCTGTGACATGAACAGCGCGACCGCATTGGAGAGTTTCTAAATCAAGAATAGAAACAAACAAACAAACAAACAAACAAACAAACAAACAAACAAACAAACAGAACGTCTGGTATTGGATTACGTCTAAATACTGAGCGGCAATTATTTCTGTGTCTCTAGACAGAAGATTTTCTCATATTTCTTTCTCAACCAGAAATCGGAGCTCACAGAGGTGCATAGAGACATAGATCATGGTCTCTTGATAGAGATTACGAAAATGGCAAGTAAAGATTTTTATCATGAAAATCACGCTTTATTCAACATACAGTTGATCATGTGATCCTGTGGTCATGTGTAGTTAGCGTAAATCCTTTTATATTTTAATAATTTTAAAAAGAATTTCTTAGGACACGGTGATACTTCAAGGAGGTGTTTTAGGGTGGTTTTTACTTTTTCGTTAATTAATCTTGGCATGCATGTGCCCAAGGGTAGAGGAATTTAGTAATCGATAATTTGAAGGTGGGTTATCTAAACATTATTATTTATCGATACATGATTGGTTCGTGTTTTCCTGGTGTTGTCAGTTCAAATTTTAGCCGTGTGACATACAGCTCTTAAGAGGAAGCAACAAAGTACACCGATGTCTGCGGAGTTAAATCACTTGTGCCTATCACACTCGGAAAACGTAATCACCAATAAACGTTGGTAAATATGGTATGAACACCATTAGTTTTGCATCCAGGCCAACCACATAACGTGTCTGGGGTCCCTGTGATGTCAGACAATCCACGATCGCGTCCACAACTTTGTAAGTGTCCGGTGATGCAGTTTTCTCCATCTTGAGCTTCATTTCCTTGGCCATGGCAACTATTAAGTATAGAGAAATACAGAGGTTTTGTCATTAGTGTGTCAAAACTGATCGCAACAAACAGCTTCATTGAGAATAGGGTTGAGGATTTTTCTTCGTTGATAGGGTACCACCGTACCAAACTCTAGGCTTTTGCAACTTCACAAGCGGGTTTAGCTAGGCTTATAACTGTAGAGAGGGGGCTTATGTCCAGGGTAGCTTAAAAGCAGCATAAAAACTCTGCAAAACACACAAAAAAATTAAATAGTATATTGTTCAAGGTGTTTTCACTGTGATGATATGTACTTCTAATGCACTTCCGGTGATGTAAGCACCACGTGAACCATCGTGCCTTGCGATCTTTGTATGTAGTTTCCGCCATGTTGTTTAAGGTATTAAAGCAACTAAAGAAGCTACATTGCCTCCTGTGCTCGACATAGTAGCTCGCGGCTATTACATTCTCCTGCATTCTCCAGAAATTGAGGATAGAGTATCGATGCAGTCATTCACTTTCACTGTTGCATGTAATGTTTGCTTATAATAAAGATGTATCATTTCTTACATAGACTTGATGATAGCACCTTGAAACTTTCATAGGCGCTGCGAAGTACTCCTAGTTGCTCCCGTGCCAGTTTCTACGGAAGCAAACAGGATAATCTTCGGCAACGGGGGACACGCCTTGACCCAGCGCACATACCTTAAGGGAATACGTGACCTTGCAATAACATTTAAGACTTACTTCCGTCAAGACGTTTATCTTCATAATCTTCTTTCATCTCGGGGCTAAGATTATTCCAAAGCTGTTTCATTGAGTCAGCAATTTTGTGTATTCCAGCAGTCTGAAACGCCCCTGGTTCTATCACGCTGACCAACACTCCCCACGGGTTCATTTCACGTCTGAGCGCATCTGAAAAGGCTTCAACACCATATTTGGAGATACAATAAGCGGACGCAAAACAAGGCGACAAACGACCTGTATAAAAAATATACATTAGACAGTTAACTGATGCAAATGCTGCAAAATGATTGGCTGAGCTTCTCGCATACTATCAGCCTTTAGTAGCCGCTTAGCTGTGTTCTATTGTTAATCAGCTAATCTGATTGGCTATCTCATCATTGTCTATTCGCTGTTATATAATATAACTAGGTCAAACGGACCAAAACACATGGTTCATTTTACGTCTTGCCGACTCGATATGAAGGAACTTCAAACTTTAAACCTCAAAAGGTTGATAAACATTCCAGAAATTCGAATAAATTTAAGTTTTGTATGAAATCGTTGGCTTTTTTCGTGCTTGATATGTGCTCTAAACCCATATTGTGCTCAAAAGTTGCTCAGAAAGGCAAAACTTGCTCGAGGTTGCTAGAGCCGCAAAAAGTTGCTGCAACCACGAAAAGTTGCTGAAAAGTTGCCGAGCACAATCACAGTCCTGATGAAGCCTTGGTTTACAGCGTACGTCATCGATATTGGACATCCAAGGTCAATTGACACTTGTCAAAACAAGGTATCTGCTGACCAGTATTTTAATTTAGCGCTCATCGAGGTCACGCGTTTTATTGAAGTTGACCGCTGCCCAGGTACTGATTTTCGATTTAATTGCAGGCTCAAGTCAGGTTACAGTTTATATTGCAATCAGGAGCTCCCCTTTTAGGCTTGGCTACATCCATTTATTAAGCGGACGAGAAATGTTCGGGAAACATCGCAACATTGACTGATATAATATTGCCGCCACAATTTTTCTTTTCTAATGTGCACATGACCCTGTGTGCTATACCTCACCTGCAAGACTCGACATATTAACCACTCTTCCCTGGGACTTTTTAATCAACGGCAGAAAGGTCTTAGTGACGTCAATCATTCCCCACAAATTGACGTCTGCGCTGCGCTTCATATGTTCCAGCGGTGTCCATTCTATTGGTCCTGCTATGGCAATGCCAGCATTGTTCACCAGTCCCCATACGCCTGAAATTTAGTCAAGCGGAGAGTAAATAGTCACTAGTATTTCAATGGTGAAATTTTGTTGCACTACTAGAACACTCTCTTATTTGCAGGCTATTCAGGCCATTTCGCGCACTGTTGGTTGCATTTACGTGATTTTAAAAAAATGATCATGTCATGACAAACATCTCTTGGCGCGGAAGGCCAAAGTTTGCAGCACAGCTGTTGCAAATTCCTCAAATGTGTCAAGTTCGAGGCAGATCTTATCCATGCGATGGATTTTGCATCTGTTGAACTCTTCTCTGTAACATATCTTGGATTGTATCTTGCTAGAAAGTGCGAAACTCAACAAACTCCCAAACAAAACGTGAGGCAACTTAGCTTTACGTTATTACGTGACCACTTGTCTTTTACATGCACTCACGTGAATGAAACCAACGGTGCGTGTAACGGCCTGAAAAAGGTCATTTCAACAGACGGCTGGGATCAACTCGTGATAAACACTTGACTCACGTCTTTGTGGATAACTCGTTCGTATTTAATGCTTTTAAAATAATTTTCTTTACAAAATTCAGATAAGAAGAAGCCTTGAATTTGGTGTGAAAAAATATTTTGGACAAAATCGGCCGTTGAAGGTCTACAGTAACCTTAAAGAATAGGGAGTTTAAGAAACCACGACGGCGACGCCGAGGACAACGTCGATTAAAAACGATTTTATATTTTACCTACGAATCTTGCGATACTCTCAAGTCATTTACTTTGTTTATCACTATCAAAACCGTCACAAAACTAAATCCGGAACACAGCGATAAATTTGAAATAAAAATTTAAAACATTGACCCTGGTGTTTCACGTTCTTCAGACAACGTAGAATTTGGTCGTTTCACGTTGTTGTTTTGCAGAGGACGGCAGAGAAATGAAAAAAGATTTACAACGTACATGAACAGCCATTGTTCTGCTCAGTAAACCTTTTGTTTGGTGACGTTCTGGTTGCCGTCGTCGTCGTGGTTTGCTTAAACTCCCTACTGAATCATTAGGGACGGAGTTGTAAGTGGAATCGGAAGAAAATGGAAACGTTCTGATTCTCCATACGATTCCACCGAGCTTTACATGGGTACAACTCCGACTACTGCTCCGATTCTGACTCCGTCGCTAGTGAAAACCAGCCAGCCTAGTTCAATTAACACCAGAATTATTCCCTCGGTGGATCTTTGTCGTTTTATGTACGGGCGCCGAGGTCAATACTTTCCCTTACCTTGTCCCGAGGGCAGCAAGTTCTTCACTTGTCTGAATACGTCCTTAATTTGCTGAGAATCTGTAACATCCATTTGAAATGTTTTCAGTTTGTCGCTCGTCACCGATTTCAAATCTTGTGCTCCTTGCTTCGTTAAACAGGCGGCCAATACATGAACTCCCATCTTGTCCAAACGAATGGCGGTTTCACGACCGAAGCCCGAGTCGCATCCAGTAATGAAGACATATTTAGT